CATATAGTTCATTCACTCGTGCCCATATCGACGTTTTCTTTTGGTTTTTTCCATAACGATCATCTTCACTAACGATATAATATGTTGACATTAAAACAATATCTTCATCAACATCCTATTTATCGCCTCTTGGGTTTTTTTCCGATATTTTGTGAGGGTTGAATATTTTCAGTGATAAGGAATTTGATTGGGATTTGCAAAAAACTGTGAAATTTTATAGTTTTGAAAGTTTTGATAATCTTGAGAATCGTCAAGATTTAAAATGAAATTTAGATCTATGTTATCAAAGAAATCAAAAGGGTTTAGAAATGAAAAGTTGAGATGAGATATGAAGTATATCAATATTATACCCTATTTATAGAGATTTTTTTTTGAAATTTTAGATTTTTTTACTAGAATATATATTCATCCGTTTATTTGATCAACACGTGACAAGAAAAGATTTATGTGAACCTTTGTGAGCTGGGTTACACGGGTGGCCTAGTTCACCAAAACCCAACCAATGGGGATAGTCTAAGGATCCAACGTCAATAGACTGTAAAAGGGACTAAATTGTTAAGTAATTTATTGTTTAGATCCTTATCGCAAAAATAAGAAAAATTTGGTCAAATCTGCATATTGACAAATACCGAGGGGCAATTTGGTTATTCCTTTTCTCTTTCTTGCTATGTCGGTCTCTGAGTTCAATCTGGAGAAACGATTAAAGTAGCGAACTAGCTACGCCCTTGAGTTTTATAACATTGATGCTGCAAGTATCCTATCGTGCTTGCTAAGAACCCTAAGCGACCTGCTGAATCATGGTATGTATCACGCAAATTTCTTTTAGTTCCCCTTACTTTTTTATTGGTAAAATTTCACAGATTGGGCGACAATGAACAAGTAGATGATTTAGTTTGTGGGTTTGGTTGGAATTCGTATTTATTTTTCCGATGTCTTTTGATTCTTCTTTGGGGATGTATGACCATTAGCTAGTACTTGGTCACCTTGAAAGTTAGGGATTTGAAAACTTCTAGTTATCAATCCAAAAGTAATTACGTTAAAAGTATGTTTGCTATCTATTTGCATCTTAGAACATCAGTAGAAATCACGTAGCTCTCTTCCGAATGAAGAGGGTGGTTTGTGAGTTCGTTGTGAAGTTTAGTGGATTGAGAGTTATAACCGTTCGATGAAATGGCTGAATGGGTATTCTTTCCTTGTAACCTTGCTTCTATTCTATGTATTTATATTCCCAAATTCTGTTAGCAAACCTAATATAGGGCTGTTAGCTAGTACTTGTATAGCTTGAAAGTTGAGGATTTGAAAGTTTTTCATATAATTTCTAGTTATAACTTTAAAAGCAGCCCAATTAGAATAAGTTTATTATCATGTGTGCTTTCAATTTTACATCTGGGAATATCACTAGAAATGAGATAGCTCTTTTTGAAGAGGACAACCTTTAAGTTCATTTTGGTGTTTAGTGGGGTTGAGACCTTTAACTGTTTGATGAAATGCCTGAGAGAAGTTTTTTCATTGCAATCATGTATTTTGATACTTAAATTCCCAGATCTTGAACTCCCTCCTTGATTCTGGAAGCTTTAGACTCCAGAGTTTGAATTTGGACACCTTGCTTACATGTTTAGAGCTTCTTTCAGGATATGGAGAATGAAGATGACTATGTGGAATACGTCCCCATTACAAAACGAAGGGCAATCGTGGCACAAAAGATTCTCCAACGTAAAGGCCAAGCTTCAACTTTTGAAGATGAAACAGAAAAGGCAAAAGAAGTAGAAATGAAACCAAGTTTGCTTGTAAAAGCTTCCCAACTCAAACGTGATCAACCTGAAGTCACTCCTGCAGAACAAGCAGTCCAACAAGAAAAAGAAATGATGGAAAATCTTTCTGATAGAAAAACTTTAATGTCAGTTCGTGAACTTGCAAAAGGTATCACATACACTGAGCCTCTTCCAACAGGATGGAAGCCCCCTTTACCCATAAGAAGAATGTCTCAAAAAGCATGTGATGGGATCAGAAAACAATGGCATATCATTGTTGATGGTGATGAAATCCCTCCACCAATCAAAAACTTCAAAGACATGAGATTCCCGGATCCTGTTTTGAAAAAATTGAAAGAAAAAGGAATAGTACAACCAACACCTATTCAAGTTCAAGGGTTACCCGTGATTCTATCTGGAAGGGACATGATTGGAATAGCATTTACAGGGTCTGGAAAAACATTAGTGTTTGTGTTACCATTGATTATGATGGCATTACAGGAGGAGATTATGATGCCAATTGCAGCAGGGGAAGGACCATTTGGGTTGATTATTTGTCCTTCTAGAGAGCTGGCTAGACAGACATTTGAGGTTGTGGAAGAGTTTTTATTACCCTTGAGGGAATTTGGATTTCCAGAAATTAGACCCTTGCTTTGTATTGGAGGTGTCGATATGAGATCACAATTGGATATTGTTAAGAGAGGTGTTCATATTGTCGTTGCTACCCCTGGAAGATTGAAAGACCTTCTTGCCAAAAAGAAAATGAATCTTGATAATTGTCGGTAAGCATTTCAAATATTATTTTTTATAAACAAATCAATAAAAGTAGATTGCTGTTTTCTAAAAATTAGGGTTTTTACACAGGTATCTAACTTTAGATGAGGCAGACAGACTAGTGGACCTCGGATTTGAAGATGACATACGCGAAGTATTCGACCACTTCAAAGCCCAAAGACAAACACTCCTCTTTTCCGCCACCATGCCCGCAAAAATCCAAAACTTTGCCCGAAGTGCCCTGGTCAAACCCGTAACAGTCAACGTGGGCCGTGCGGGGGCCGCCAATTTGGATGTCATCCAAGAAGTTGAATACGTAAAACAAGAAGTCAAACTCGTGTACCTTCTAGAATGTCTCCAAAAAACCCCGCCTCCCGTTCTAGTCTTTTGCGAAAACAAAGCTGACGTGGACGACATCCACGAATACCTTCTCCTAAAAGGAGTCGAAGCGGTTGCCATTCATGGAGGGAAAGATCAAGAGGAGAGAGAATACGCGATCTCGTCTTTCAAAGCGAGTAAAAAAGATGTTTTGGTGGCTACGGATGTGGCTTCAAAGGGTTTGGATTTTCCGGATATTCAACATGTGATTAATTACGATATGCCGGCTGAAATTGAGAACTATGTGCATAGGATTGGGAGGACTGGGAGGTGTGGGAAGACTGGGATTGCGACTACTTTTATTAATAAGAATCAAAGTGAGACTACGCTTCTTGATTTGAAACATTTGTTGCAAGAAGCCAAACAGAGGATTCCACCGGTTTTGGCGGAGTTGAATGATCCGATGGAAGATGTTGATGCGATTACGAATGCGAGTGGTGTGAAAGGGTGCGCGTATTGTGGTGGGCTCGGGCATAGGATTGGGGTTTGTCCTAAATTGGAACATCAGAAGAGTATGCAGATTGCGAGTTCTAGGAGGGATTACTTTGGGTCTGGAGGGTATAGAGGGGAAATATGAGTTGTAACTCACTTGTTCTCCTCTTTAATGTTTGTTTTACTACATAGAGAGTGTACTAATTCCCTTAGTTTTATCAGATTTTTTTTTATATGGAGGTGTACTGCTTGCCAATGTTAGATCTCAAATTTAATTTTCGTGACAATTTTGTGTCTTAATCTAATGCTTGAATTGCGGAAACTAATAAATGGAGACTAGAGGGTATCTACTATCTACTTCCACTGGGAGTTTTGTGAGGTCTATCCACATCAATGTGTATTATTATTTATTATTGCAGGTATAAAACGAGAGGCCTTGAACAAATTCCCTTATTTGCAAATACACTACAACTTTATGATTGAAATGTCGATGTCTTTTGTGCTTCAACTTTGGCTAGGACTCTTGTTGAGGAAAAAGCAGCTTGCACCTCGTGCAATGCTCATTCTTTTCATTGTTACTTTGAATATATAATTCTCATTTGTATCTTTGGCCAACATTCAACAAATTTTGACTGGTATCATGTATAAATAACACATATGTGATGACTTTTGTACCTAAATTGCTTTCAATTGCTACTGTACGTTTCCCTTTACTTTGTGACAAATCTTTACTTTGGAAACTTGCAAGCATCCACTTCCTTGAAAATGTCACGATCAATGGTCATATGGTTGGTGCAACCATTATTTATGTCACTTGTCATTTATATAGGATTGGAAAGCAAGAGGCTACCAAGTGAATCTATCATCTACATCAACCACATTCTTTTGCTGCCATTCACTTGTGTGACTGTCTTTTGCTATGTTGTTGTTTTTGCAAATTCTTTGAAGATGATTTTTTTTTTTTTTTTTTTTTTTTTTTTTTTTTTTTTTTTCTGACATTTCACATTTTGGAAGGTGGATGCATGGCCATTTCTTCCACAATGAGAGAAATCACATTTTGATACGTTACCAGTATTGAAAAAATAAAAAGATGAATTTCCCTTGTTGTTCATCTCATGTTTCTTTCGTTTTCCTCATTCAATCCACTGATTTTCTTCTTGTACTCGGATCATATTGTTGAATTGCTTGGCTAATAAATGCATGCTTCCTTCAAGAGATTAACGAATATAAAACATAATCATCATAATTGAATCAATGAGACCATTGTTCGTGTTCTTTCATTTAACTTAACAAACATAAAAGAATGTTTTCTAGTGGTCTAATACAATATTCTACCATGCTTGGTCAAGAAATTCCATAATCGGCCTATATCGGCTATAGCTTGGCCACAGTAATCGGTGTGAAATTAAACTATTCTCTGAAAAGTATAATCACTTTGGAAATTTCGAAAATACTATTCTCTAAATAGGTTTTATCCTACTGCTTTTTTTACTAGATGAGTTGGCATTTTTCTTGTGTACAACTGGTAGGGCACAGTACTTATTGCACGTGTTAGGCACAGTATTTTTCAGAATGTTTTACTTCTTTAAAAAATAGAGAGAAATCACGACCATGTAGTGAAACTAATTTCTTTTTCTTATATTCACCAAGAACAGAAACTACAATGTCATTTTCATCTAAAGAAAACCGGGATCACAATCATAACAAAGCATAAAAAAGTACTAAACAAAACCAACAAACTAACACCATGACACATGTTCTAATTTCTAAACCAAAATCTCCTTTTATCACCATCATCACTACCTGTTCCTGTCTGCTAACTTAAACAAACCCAACTAAACAGATCTCAAAAGCTATCAACCCCAAATCTTAAACAGCAAACCACCATGAGCAGCAAAAAACGGAGCAAACACAAGCGATTCAACAGCCATAAGTTTAATCAAAATATTCAGTGAAGGCCCAGAAGTATCCTTAAGTGGGTCCCCGATCGTGTCACCAATCACCGCCGCCTTATGTGGGTCCGACCCCTTTGGTCCAAGTGTCCTCGCATGCTCCGATGCGCCAGCCTAAGATAACCATTAAAACAATAAAAACTTCACCACAATAAATAAATAAATAAACACAAACCCACCTCAATATACTTCTTTGCATTGTCCCAGGCGCCACCTGTATTTGAAGCCGAAATCGCCACCTGGACACCCGAAACCAATGCGCCAGCTAGGACACCCGAAAGCGTCTCCACCCCAAAAAACGTCCCGACAATTAGCGGAGTCAGCATGACAAGAGCACCAGGTGGAATCATCTCCTTAAGAGACGCATCCGTCGAGATCTTGACACATGTAGCGTAATCTGGTTTTGCAAGCCCTTCCATTAAACCAGGAATTGTATTAAACTGCCTACGAACTTCCTCCACCATTTTCAAAGCTGCACTCCCCACACTTTTCATAGTCATGGCTGAAAACCAATACGGAAGCATCGCACCAACAATTAAACCAATAAAAACTTTCGGTGTCAAAACATCGACTGTCTCAATCCCCGCACGGCTCACAAACGCGCCGAATAGCGCAAGGGAGACTAATGCGGCGGATCCAATTGCGAATCCTTTTCCAATGGCGGCGGTGGTGTTTCCGGCAGCATCGAGGGCGTCGGTGCGTTCGCGGATTCTGTGGCTCATTCCGGCCATTTCAGCGATTCCACCGGCATTGTCACTGATGGGGACCGTAGGCGTCAATCGCGAGTCCGGTTGCAATGGTGCTGAGCATTCCGAGGGCGGCGACTGCAATTCCGTACATGGCGGCGAAGGTGAAACTGACAAAGATGCTGATGGCGATGGCGAAGATGGGAATGATTACGGATTTGTAGCCCAATGCGAGCCCAAAGATTACATTTGTTGCGGCTCCGGTTCTGCAGGAATCAGCAACATCTTGCACAGGGCTGCAGGAAAGAGATGCATGAGTTCATTATTATGTAGTTGTAATGTGTTTGACACACATTTGGTCTAAGAAATGTCAATGGACAAAATTATAATTTGTCCATGGGACATGATTATAATTTGACATACATTGAATGTATTAAAACTGATGTGGCATGACATACATACCTATAGGCATTGCTGGTGTAGTATTCTGTCACAAAACCGATGATAAGTCCAGCCCAAAGACCGACACACACACACAAGAAAAGTTGCCTGCATCCAAATGACCACAAGAACTATTATATTGTGAAGGACAATATTGTAAATAAGTGAAATAACAGGGGACTTTTGCTTACCAGTTATGCACGACCTTCTGTGCACCGAAATTAAAGATTGTGAAGGATGTGGGAAGTGCAATGAAGCTAACAATTGCAATACCCACAGTCATAAGAACAGTGGAGATGATAAGCTGCTTCTTCAAAGTTGTTTGGATTTCATCGACTTCTCTGATCTCAAAGAAATCAGTTGCGAAAAGAGTGGTTATTAAGCAAACAAGAATTCCAACAGAGCTCACGAGTAATGGATAGCACATTGCTGTGAAATCATGCTCTATTCCAAAAGAAGAAATGGAAGCAACAACAAGTGCAGCACAAGATGATTCGGCATATGACCCAAAAAGATCAGATCCCATTCCAGCAATGTCCCCCACATTGTCCCCAACATTATCAGCAATCACCTATATCAAGAACAAGAGTAAAAAGTAAAAACACAAACTTTGATGTGAAACTAGATGAAAAGGGACTTAAGAATGGTTTAATGTAGAATTACCGCAGGGTTTCTGGGGTCATCTTCTGGAATGTTTCGTTCGACTTTCCCTACAAGGTCAGCACCAACATCAGCAGCTTTAGTATATATACCTCCACCAACTCTTCCAAACAGAGCCATTGAAGAACCGCCGAGTCCATAACCAGTTATGGCCTCAAAAAGTCCTTCCCAGTCATCCCCATAGTAGATCTTGAACAGATTAATGGCAATGTATAGAACTAAAAGTCCGTTTGCTGCAAGAAGAAACCCCATCACAGCACCAGATCTAAATGCTGTCTCAAAAGCTTTACCAACGCCTTTTCTGGCTTCTAGGGTTGTTCTTGCGTTGGCATAAGTGGCTATTTTCATCCCAAGGAAACCTGAAATGATGGAGGTGATCGCACCAAGCAAGAAGGCGATTGTACTGAAGAGAGCAGTTGCAATTGCAGGCTTGCACATTCTGGATACATCGTAGGTGCACTGCTGGCTCTTTCTGCTAAACCCCTCAACAGAACCAAGAAAAACGAAGATAAAAAAATGCAAACACAACCATGAAAATACCAACGTACTTATACATGGTGACCAAAAAGGAGGTTGCACCTGTTGAATATGAAACAAAAACCAAAAACAAGTGCTGAATTAGCAGAGAAAACATCAATTCAGAGATACAAAACGATAAGATATTATCATTCGAACATATGAACAAGAGGAAGATATCCGAGAGAGATGTTACCTTCGGAGATTGCATTCTGAATCTCGGCACATTTAATAACGACGTTATGATCATTAAGTCCCTCCTCTTCTTCAATTAAGTAGTCATCGTATCCATTTTTGTTGCTGACAGACGGAGGACCATTACGGTCTGGTGCAACTTTTACTCTAGAGACTACCACCCACTGAAACAGCGAGAAAATGATACCAATCACGGCGCATACAGGAATAATTATTTCCGTCGCAAAACTTGACAGTAACGCCGGACTCATGGTATCGGAAACCTAGTACGTCGCCGGAAAATGGAAGGAATAAAAGGAAGGAAGAAGGTAAGTAAGAAATGTTTTTGGGAGAAAAATGAAGTAGAAAGCGGTGAGCTTTTATAGTTGGAGGGGTGAGAGGAAAAGGTAAGAAGATAAGATAGAGAGTGCCGAGTGGAGCATTTTATCTGATTGGGTCTTTTAGGGTTCTTCGGTGCAGCCGCACTTTTAATCCAACGGTCCGATTTTGCCGATCGAGTATCATCCTAGGGCATGAATTTTCCTTTAGTAGATTAAGGATGTGTTTGAATGTTAGGTTTTGAAAACAATTATTTATGAAAAAAGGTAACTTAAATATTGGAAGTAACAAAGGAATTAAACAACGGATTCTCTTTAATAGAGAACAATAAATGAAAAGAAAAAATAAGGAATAAACAATCAATTAACACCTACTTCCCTGTTTAGTATCGGAAAAAAAAGGAAAATATGGAAAGAAAATTAAGAAAAGTATAAAAGAAAAGAAATTGTATAATAAAGGGATATTAGGGGAAAAAAACACCCATACTTCCTTCCAAATCTCTTTAATTTTGGCTGAAAATCAGCAACGATTATCTTTATATTTTGGCTTTTTGTCATAAAAGCCTCCGAATTTATATAAAAAAACTGCCCAAAATCGATTTTTTTTGCCACAAATGCCTCACATTTGCCCCTCATGTTTCATTTTAATATTTTTCACCGGTTTCCCTTTACCAACCGGTTACATCCTCTTTTTTAACCCCTAAACATCATCGTCCTTCGTTAACGCCGATCCAAAGTCTCTCCCCCGTCTTCTATCCTCTCCCCCGTCTTCTACCCTCTGTCTCTATAATATGTCGACTTCGTCTGCCAAATCGAGCTTCCAAGGTGGTCCAAGATCGAGAAAGAAAAGAATAGTTAGATGTGGCTGTGGAGATGTGTGTAAGGTATGTAACACCTGTTTCGAGTATTGGTTGTAATTTGCTATTGTAGGGTTGTAACATCCCATTTTTCGAGTCCAAAAATTTCGATTTTGATATAACAACATAGAAAAACATTCATAAGAAAATATCATGAAGTCATATCTTTTCGTAAAAACCATAATCCCATGTCTGAAAATCATATCATAAAAGTAGTGACAATGTCAGAGTACAATCCCAAGAAATCTCATAATGCGGAATCCAATGTGTGTATGATGTGCAGCTACCGCGCCGACTCCTTCCCCTTCGCTGAAGAGGTACCTGAAACAAAATTGAAAACTGCAAGCACGAAACTTAGTGAGTTCCCCCATCGTACCACATAACATACAATCACATAGCATACATACTGCCGGACAATTCTGGGGTGCCCAACCTACCCGTTACGACCATTCTGGGGTGCCGACCTACCCGTCAAGCCATTCTGGGGTGCTGACCTACCCGTGTCAAGCCGTTCTGAGGTGCTGACCTACCCGTGTCAAGTCGTTCTGGGGTGCTAACCTACCCTTCGGTCCTAACAACCGAACCTCGGGGACTATTCCCCTCCTACTACCGCGATCACATATATCATATCATGTCAGCATATAAACATATCATCACATACTGTCAGACATAACTGGGATGCCTGACCTACTCTTCGGTCCTAACAACCGAACTCTACTACTATCACATATAACATATCATGCCAGCATATAACATATCAGGTAGTAGCAAACCTAGATGATATCACAAAGACAATCATCTAACATACAGCTCCTACTGGTGGGCCGACATTGTGGCCGTAGACCCACCGCTACCGGAAGGTAACTCACCTCGCAAGGCTGACTGCTGAAAAGCTGATCGGCAGATGTCTGACTGCTGCTCCGGTGATCCTCCGGCTATAAATTCATAAAACACTTAATCAGACACTGATAACTACTCTTAGGGTAAAATGACTATTTTACCCTTGACCCAGTCAAAGTCAAAGTCAACCTCCAGTTGACCTGACTCGTCGAGTTGGGCCGCCAACTCGTCGAGTCCCTATCCCTTCATCTGACCTTCCTCAAGCCCCTGCTCATCGAGTTTAGCAACGACTCGACGAGTTCTCCTTCTAAAACATCCTCGAATGAACCTTCATCCGACTCGCCGAGTTGTATGAACAACTCGTCGAGTTTATCCCCATCCTATGAACAAGTTTGCCCTTGACTCGCTGAGTTGTATGAACAACTCGTCGAGTTCATCTTCGAACGTTGGGAGATTGCCTTGGACTCGCCGAGTCTGTTCATACACTCGCCGAGTCCTATGATCCCCAGGACTATGGCTAAGTCCAATGGTTGGGTCATTCCCCCGGACCCCTCTAAGACCACTCTAACACTCACTGGGTTCCTTCGAACCATAACAGAAAAGGGAAGTCAAGCCATGGACTCGCCAAGTCCCAAGAATGGCTCCTAAAAGCCCTAAATCACCCCAAAAAGGGATCTAAGACATGAAAGAGCAAGGTATCAGCTTTGTACCTCTAAAGAACTGCAGAGGGTGCACAAACTCGAACTCCTCTGGCCTCCTCTTGATTCCTCAAGCCTTTCTCTTCCTTCTTATGTTCCAAAATCACCCAAAACCACCACAATGGTCTTAGATCTTTACACAAACGATTAGGGTTTGATATGGAAAGTTCTGAGAGCAATAGGGACGAAGGGAGGCTGAATGAGATGTTTAAATAGGGTGCAATCCCTTAAATTAGGGTTTTGTCCAGTCAGGGCCTACTCGTCGAGTCTGGCCTGCCGACTCGTCGAGTAGGTCATTAAACTACCGGGTCCAAGTCGCTCCTACTCGTCGAGTTGGCCATCAACTCGCCGAGTTCTAGGAAAAAAAATGAATAATACTTGAATGAAATTCATACCAGGAACCGGGTGCTACAAATCTCCCCCACTTATCTTAGACTTCGTCCTCGAAGTCTGCTGCTCGGTCCTGAAAAAGCTCTGGATAATGCTCAATCATCTCGTCCACCGGCTCCCACGTCCACTCTGAGCCCTTCCGGTGCTGCCATTGCACCTTCACCAACTCGACCTTCTTGTTCCTCAGATCCTTCGACTTCCGGTCGAGGATAGCCACAGGTCGCTCAATGTAGTTCAGGCTACCATCAACCTGTATATCCTCCAGGGGCACCACTGCCGAGTTGTCCACCAGACACCTTCGCAGCTGGGAGACGTGGAAAGTGTCATGGATCTGACTGAGTTCCGCTAGAAAATCCAGCCGATATGCCACCTTGCCCACCCGGGCCAAAACCCTGAAAGGCCCGATATACCTGGGGCCCAGCTTGCCCCGCTTCCTGAATCGGATGACGCCTTTCCAAGGCGACACCTTCAGGAGAACCATATCCCCGACCTGAAACTCCAGGTCTGAACGACGCTTGTCGGCATAGCTTTTCTGCCGACTCTGTGCAGTCTGAAGTCTGCTCCTGACCTGCTGAATTCTTTCTGTCGTCTTGAGCACCACTTCGGTGCTCCCCATGACCCTCTGGCCAACCTCACCCCAACATATCGGGGTCCTGCACTTCCTCCCGTATAACATCTCAAAGGGAGGACGACGTACTCGCGTGGTAAGCTGTTGTTGTAGGAGAATTCAGCCATGGGAGGTAAGTATCCCAGCTACCACCGAAATTCAGCACACCGCCCGCAGCATATCTTCCAAAGTCTGGATGGTCCGCTCGCTCTGACCATCCGTCTGCGGGTGAAATGCGGTGCTAAAGTGCAGACGAGTACCCAACTCGTCGTGGAACTTCTTCCAGAACCTGGAAGTAAACCGCACATCCCTGTCGGAAATCACCGAGACTGGCACTCCATGCCGAGTCACCACCTCTCGAATGTAAATGTCGGCCAGCTTCTCGGCCGATATACTCTCCTGGATCGGTATAAAATGGGCGTTCTTGGTCAACCGATCCACGATGACCCATATAGAATCCACTCCCCGCGCGGTCCTGGGAAGTTTGGTGATGAAGTCCATGGTAATATCTTCCCATTTCCACATGGGAATATCCAGCGGCTGCATCTGTTGGATATAGTGTCTAAGTCCATAACTTTATTTGGTATGTACTTGACCCGACCCGGCATGGTCCATTTGGGTTGCATGGCATTGCAATACTTGGATAGACTAAATGAGAGAATAAGGCACTTATGATTATTAATATATTATAAGTTCTAATATATTAATAATAGTATTATTTAATTAGTATTGATCAAGTATTAATCTAGTATTAATTTGGTGATCAAAGTGAGACTAATTAAATATATAGGGTTGATTATGACAATCATCAATTCTTTTATGGTGGATTAATGATCCATGGTTTATGGGTTATGGATGTAACCATATGGAGCTCCATGGATAGTCCATGGGAGTTACAAATCCATGGGTCATGGGAAATCAAGAGTCATGACAATTAAGGGCATTCATGTGTAAACCCTAATTGTGACAACACTATAAAAGGAACCCTATGGCTAGCAAAAGTGGACCTAGTGGACATAGTGTTACTAGAGAGGGCATAACCATTTTGAGTGCTAGAAGTATTCTCTCAAGTTATTCCAAGTCTTGTGGTGTTGTGTGAAGCATTTGAGGCACAACATTTGGGGTGCTAGGCTCACAAAGTCTTGAAGGAATCCAAGCAACAACAAGGTATGTATTTCTACTAGTTTTTATGTTTTATGTAATCCCCATGCCATGCTAGTTAGGAAATAACCTTGAAAAGAAATTTGCATGTATATAGAGAAAACATAGATTCAAGGTTATTAGGGTTGCATGTACACTTAGGAAGTGTTAGAATGCTCAAAAACCCATCAGTGGTATCAGAGCCTAGGATTGTTTTCTGTATACTTGATGCAAAACTGCTTAAAAATCGAAAATTCTGCATTCTGACGACTGGACTCGCCGAGTCCATGGGGAGGACTCGCCGAGTCCATGAACAAATTCATTCTACTCGCCGAGTAGAATAGTGCACTCGGCGAGTAGGAGCGTGCTGGGCAGTTTTTTCGAGTTTTGTTGCTGGAAATGGATTAAGATCATTATCCCAATCTGTTTTGGACTTGTAAAATCTGTTTTTCAAAATGATAATGATTATGTTAACCCATTTTACATGACTTTTATCAATTTTCAAGTATTGTATATGTTTATATG